TGGAACAAGGAATAGAGTTTGTCAAAAAAGATCTGGAAATGATTGAGCCCTGAGACCTCCTTGACCACATCCCCAACTGCCAGCTCTAGACGATGATTGGAGCAGTGCCACACAAACAGGCTTGGGAATTTACTACACAACTGGGTAGCAACGCCTGTTCTCTTCCCTAGCATGACTGAAGCCCCATCACATGCAAAAGAAACGAAACACTGACCTAAAAAGTCCTCGTTAAAATCTCTTCCAAGACACTTCATTAACGCCTTTGTGATGTCCTCAGCCGTTGTTCCATCCAACTCGATCAGCTCCCAAAAAAACGTTTCGGGCTCAGCATCAGCTAATGCTGAGCGTAGACACACAACAAGCACCGTTTTACCACTAATAGTGGTAGATTCATCGACCAAAACACAGTTTTCTTTGGTTTTCTGTAATGTCTTTTGCCATTTTTTTCTTCAGCTCATGAGCTATGTGGTCGATGATTTCGCCACAGGTTTTATTGGAGTGCAAAACCCTGCCCACGTTCAGCCCATTCAGTTTCTGTACATTCAAATCAATTGGCATGTCTGTGAATGGCCGGCTATGTTTGCCAATTTTATATGCCGTTCGAAAAACTCTGATAGTGGTGTCTAATTCAGATTTATGCATAGACTGCACTTGATGTTGAATAGTTTCACGTGAAGCAGATGTAAGGATGTCAGCAGCTTTTACATGGGCTTGTGATTCTTTATGTTCTTTGATTTTTTTTCTCAGGCTAGCTTGTTGTTTGCCCTTGTCAACACCGAAATGAGACACTGCACACTCACCCCATTCAGTTGACAGTTTCAGTCCTTGTCCAGTGTGTATTCCCAAAGATTTGACATGATCTCTGCATATCCGACATCCTAGCTTCTTATCTTTAAGAAGGAGCCATGCATTGGTCTTGCAAAAATATTGCACCTGGTCCGTTGTCCAGCAGTCAGGTGCATCGCTTTGCCCGGTGTTGGTGGTGGCAGTTGCGCCAGCAGCAGCTAACGTTAGAGGCTCTGGAGGAGGCGGCGGAGCTAGTGCTAATGCTAATGCACTAGAACTTGGAGCAGGAGGATCAACCAAAGAAAGCTCCCCATCAGACACAATTTCCAACACAGGCACAGCACTCTCTGTATTTGAAGTTTCTTCCGGCGACAACCGCTGTCTTTTTGCACTTTTATTAATCCACGCTAACATTTTAGAAATGCTAATTTGTGACGTAACTTGCTTTCCTTCTCTCGGGGGCGTGCCTGCTCTGTTCTATCACTCTACATAGCCACCCACTGGGTGGGAGTTGCACTGCATAAACACAACACACGTGCATCTAGGTATGTAAATTGTAAAGCATTAAAACATGGTTTTACTAACAGTTTTCAGTATGTTGTTACTTCGGCATTATTATTATTATTATTTTGAAACGTGTATTACTATTAAATCACGGTCAAATAGGTTAATTTTGACATAGTCGTTTCCACCACAGTATTTACATGGAGAAGATAAGCCCCGCCCCCTCTCCAGCAGTTCTGTTTGAATGACAGGAGTAAACAGCTGACAGCCGCTGTGAAACTCCAGCGGTTAGAGCGATGAGAATGTCCGTTCGGCACCTCATGACGCATCTACTGAGTACCGGGCGGCTGTATATATATATATATGGATGTATAATAAGAACGGCGGGAGAGTGTTGAGTACTGGCACGGTGCATGAGTACCGGAGTACCGCCAGCATGCCGGGTACTGAGCAAGAAGTGCCGGTACTCCATGGGTCAGAACCAGAAGTGCCGGTACTGCGTACCGGTGAGTACCGGCCCAATTCCAGCACTGCTTTAGTGTAAGTTATCTCAGTGGGTCTCAAACGGTTTGGTCACCATTTATGTAAACAAGTATTTGCGAGGAACACATGTATATGATCATTAGCCTATAGCCTAGTTATTAAAAAAATAAGAGAATAAATGAAAAACGGGTATGAAATACTATAGGACAGTAACACAAAAATACAGTTTAAAAGGGGAGTGATTAGTAAAATATCCATAAAGAAAAAGTAAATCTGTGTACAGTTCTGTTTCATATGAATGCTGAGAGGTGTAGGCTATCCATAGATCTCTTCATTTTGCTCTCAAAGTGCACCAGATTGATGCATTTAACTTCAATATTTAAAAAATAATCTTCCCGGGGGAGCATGCCCCCAGACCCTCCTAGAGGAGGTTAGGGCCGCCCCCACCTAAAACATGTTCACATGGATAGGATACAAAATACATTTGCACACTTTTTATATGGTGGCCTATGTCCATATGTTTCTGTTTTGGTGGTCGTGCCACAACCGTGCATGTATGCACAAGTCATAGGTGCGCTAGGAAATAGCACATACACCCCTCAATGTGTGTGAAAGACAATAGACTTTACAGCATGTTTTTTTTAATTGAAGTTTTCGTTGGTGTTTGTGTGTTGGTTGTTGACGGCAGTGTGTGCCCCCCCTTGGTAAATGATTGCCCCCCATTCGATTTGTTCTAGAGCCGACCCTGGACACATGTTTGTTTGTTTTTGTGCAGTTAATGTATTTGTAGGGACATTTCATATCAATAAAAACAGCTGGGCTGACTCCAAACCACATTTTTAACATGTATATACCAAGAACTAAGACAATATATTTTATGGAATAAAACTGTTTCCACCCTGTCAGCTGTGTGAGGGGAGAGCCCCAGGGAGCACCTGAACGCATCATGAGCTGTGCCTCGGTGAGGTTAACGTGTGTTTTTTATGATGTTGACCTGAAGTGACCTGGGGCCAGTTTTGGAAGAAGTACTAAAAGTTGTGAGCTAAATGTACTACAAGTATTAACAGTGAAAGTACTTGTTTATCAGAATGGATCTTTTCACAGTATGATAGTAGTAGTAGGCCTATAGGGTTTTTATACATAAAAGAGCATTTTAGTATAGTAGTGGGTTGAAATTGTGTATATTAGTAGTATGGTACTGCATTAAACCACATCAGTATATGCAGTAGCCTATATGTTATTATTATGTGTACAAAGTAACTACTAAATGTGAGTGTTAAAATAAATGTAGTGGAGTACTACAAAGTACGATATATGAGAAGCTTTAAATGTAAATACTTAAGGAAAGTACAAAACATGAGTAAATGTAACTGCCTGGGGCACAACACAGGGCACAATGGTCCTGTGGGGACAGGCTGTAATGAATTGAATTGGAAAGTCAGATCAGCGTGTGAACACATCAGCAGCTCTGGGGATTGAGTGATGGCTGAGTTTGATTTACTGATACTAACCTCCTTTTCATTTCAAACGACAGCTGACTGTTGCTGGTTCCTGGTAGGGTGTCATATCTCACTTCTGATGGCACATCAATCACAGGTCTGGTCCCCCTATTCTTCCTAGAAGTAGGGAAGATGTTTGTTGTTTTTCACAGTAGCCTACTTCCTTTTTTGAAATGCCCACTGATAATATCCTGACAGTCGGGTGACTCAGTGAGCAGTGGAACCTGGGAGACAGGAGACAACAAGCTGACTCCAGAGCAGCTCAGCAATTATGAATGCACATGGGGCCGGTGGTTATCTGTGGAGCGCCAGTGACATGAATCATCTTCACAGGAGAGCCTGAAACCACTGAGGATTAAAGAATGTGGAATAAAGTATGAAGTCAAGACATAATGTGACTTCTGAATATTATATATGGCTATTTACAGGAACACATTTCCCTTGTATTCATTTTACATTTACACACTGAATTCTGTTCGAGAACATTTTGAATTTTGATAAACAGAACCCCAATATTATTGAGATGTTTCCCTCAACAGGAGTTGATCATGTGACCTGTGATTCATCACCCCTCTCTCTCTGGTCCAAGATTAACTCTAATCTCATTTACAGCAGGTCATGTGACTTTGTGTGGCTGCAGGCCAACCTCACGTTTGTCCACTGGGAAGAAAAACAAACAACGTAATAGATATATCATAATTATAATGAATTATAAGTACAAAGACAGTTATGTTAACCCAAACAATTGATCTGGTTTATCCCAGGAAACATTGAGGAAATTACAGGTGTGTAAATGCAGTGTCAGCACATTTGACCCTTTTTAAATGAACAAAATTAAGTGTAAATCGCTCTGGATGAAGGTGTCAGCTATAATGTTATATACATAGTTATGATAAGCGAACATCGTGTGAGTGTAGGGTTTAAAAATTCAGCACTCATTATGGAAACAGAAAAGCAGATCTGATCATGTATAATGCAAAAAAGGCAATGACAATATGTTCACTGCATGTGAAATTGGAATATATTAATCTTGTCTCAGACCCGAGCACTGACCGATGATGTAATCACATTGTGCTTGTACCTCTCACTGATCAGCTGCTGGGGGGGGGGGGATTAGCTGCTCCTCTCTGAGCTGCAGGTGGAGTCTGATGTCTCACTTTAGCCGCCACACACTAAGAGGATTTACCCAGACGGGAAGGGGTAAAAATAAAGACTCCATCAGCTTTTTTTCTATCCACAAAAAGCTATCCAATTATTCTCCGGCAAAGATTATGTTATCTTTTTTTTCTGTCTTTAAAGGTATTTTAACATTGAGTGGCAAAACAAAACCCCAGCTATAAGTAAATGAAGGTATTAAAAAAAGGCAGTAAAAGAGGTATGATCAGTTGTAGACCAATTTTACTAGGGATTCCGCGCGACAAAATAATTTTTATATTTTCAATTCAGTATAAAGCCACAAAAAACACACTATGAGAAATTGTATCATCATATATTTTTCTCATGCAGGGGGGCCATCGGGGATTCCAAGCTCAGTGTTATTAGGGCACCGGCCCCCGTGCCCCCCCCCCCCCCCATGATTGTGTAAAATCCAAAACATGATGTTGTTTTGTGCCATGATATTGATATCACACCGATGAAAACTCAAGCTGGCTGATTCTCAGGTTCTAGAAAATGATTCCTCCCCCCCCCCCGCGGACAGGAGGAGCTCCTCACAGCAGGGGGGGGGTTGTCCACAGCGTCAGCAAGATCTCTGAGTGCTCAGTAGCCTCGGGTTTGATGTGACATGATGGGACTGAGCTCAGTCTGACTTCTCACCACACTCTGAACGGACTCACATTCAGGTACGTTCCCACGGTAACAAGTGATTGATTTTAATGTTTCAGTGCAGGTACAAGAAGAGAAGCTGTGAAGAGCTTAACGAGTCAGGAAATCTACTTTTAGCTGGAGTAATCTGGACACAAGGATTTCAGTGAAGAGCTAGGAGTCATGTTGATCTACTGTGAGCTGTCACTAACACTGTCTGCTGGATGTGAGACAGTGATGAGTGACATGTGAAAAAGCAAGCTTTACCTATGTGTTGTCTTCCCGTCATCAACTTTTGTTCTTTGAAGTAACTTAGACCCAGAATATAGGGAGGTAAAGAGAGAGTCTGTGGAAATAATGTAAAAGGCACTGCAGTATTTCTACGTCATTATCAGATGTGAATTATTACCATTATATCAATGCTAGAATTCTGAGGTTACAGTAATTGTCCATATTGTTATGTCTGTATTGCTTTATAGTTATTTGGAATACTATGGAACCCAGTCCACTGTATTTCTATAAAGCAGTTTGTATTTATATATGACCACCAGGCAATGAAGATATTGACACTGTCATAATCAGCAAAATAACGTTTAATTTCACTTTAATAACTCACGTTGGGTTATGAAAGCCACATGCAATGCTTCACATTTGCACTGAAGTGAGTTTAAAATGTAATGATGTTAATAATCACCTGTCAAAATGTGATTATTACATGTATTGATTCAAACACTTGCTTCGGACACCGTTGTTGCGGTGGCTACACCACAGAACACAGAATCCTGAGAAAGCAGGAACTAAGTATGCGGACAATATGACACAAGGATACCAAAGAGAAGCTTAAAGAACACAAATAATACTGATCGTCTGTCGGTCTATAATTCCAAACATGTCAGTCTGTAAGAAGAAGGTGAATGAGTGCAAACAGAGAAACAGATGACCATAACACCTTTTATAACACAGGCCTTCTGGTTGATTGGACGTTCCCACACCTGTATCTTGTGTTGTTTTCGACACTGTGTATGTGAGCTCACCCCCCCCCCCCTTCCTGCTCCATGTGTGCAGGCTGATGGACGCCCAGAACCAGACGCCTATAGTGAGGACAGGACTGCTGGCCAGGTGAGTCTCAGTGTACTGCATAAGTGAAGGGAAATTATTTATAATGATCCTAAATCTGTTTATGAAGTCTCTACAGTGCTTCACCCTGGTTTTACCTTACGACTTAAAGAAGGGCATACACAATGACAATATGCTCTCATTTAGCCATGGAGAGCAAAGTATATGCATATTCAAATGAGACAATCTTTCCTGAAATGTCCTGTTTGAGCGTAGGAGTGAACATCTGATTTATTAACAGCACTCACCAATATAGTGTGTCCTTATTATGTATAATATATATTTTTCTATTCCCAGGCTGTCCCACATGATGCACTTTGGGGGGAGCAGCGTGGGCCCTGCAGAGGAGAACATGAGGAGCAGGTGAGTGGGAGGGGCCTTTCACTCCATACTCACACTCACTATAGAAACACCTCACTGTGTGTAGAGTCCCTTGGCTCACATCATGATGGCTTTGCTTGATAGATTTGTGGTTCGATCACTGGGAGGAAAGGCAAAGAGAGGATACATGTGTTCCATGTTCCCGACACAAGGTTGCATGAAGTAACACATCATTATTCCAGGGATTGAGAATGAATCAAGAGAAGCTGTTGTACATTCTGAAAAATCTGAGCAAAGTGCCTAAAGTAATTTCTGTTCAAACACATTCATACACTCTGAATCAGTCATTGTTTCTCCCCGGACAACGCCTGTACTGTACCTGGGCTGAGCCTGGTGATACTAGAGGATTAAGGCTATTTAATACATATGTAGACTAGACACCAAGTGGAAGTTCATTTATCAGAAATCATAGTGTGTAATTTCACATATAGGCAGGAGTGCAGTGTGAGCCATGAGTTGGTAATATATTGCAAACCTTGTTTGTCCACCAGTGATGGTCGGTTGGCGTTGGCTGCCCAAAACATGAACAACAGCAACAACAACGATGGGTAAGATCCTCTCACACACCCTTAATCACACCATTAGACATCTGTTAAACACCATGTAAAGAGATTAGAGAGTATTCAATTAAATGAAACATGGTTTGTTCTCACATGAAAGAGCTAATTCATTATTGGGTGCATGCTATGCTGTGTTCATTCAATGTGTCTAACCAGGAGTGGGTAGAACAACTGAAACATAAGGAAACCAGGGATTGATTGTTTTTCTATGACTCAGCAAATGTTCAGTTAGGAAGGCTCACTAACATCAGCAGAGTTACATCGATTGGGAAAAAAAAGACGCCCAGGAAGAATAGTCCAGCTAGCATTTTTAAAGACCATGTTATGGCCCAAAAAATAAATAAATCAACAAACCACCTGGTGTGTAAAGGTCAATCCCCCCCCCCCCCACCCCCCACCCCAAGGCGAGTTCTGTTTCACTGTCTTCTCATTATGTACTGATGTACATTTGAAGGATTTGGATATACTACGAGCCCTACACTTCAGAAATTACAAAATACTGTGTCACAGTGCCCCCCACAGGTTCTTTGCAGGTACTGACTGATGACAAAGATCAAATAACCTCACCTGCCTCTGCTTCTGGACATTTACAGTAAAAAGGATGAAAAGAAAGACGTCAAGAAAGAGGAACCCAAAAAGGATGATAAAAAAGAACCACCGTGAGTACCACAAGCTCTTTTCCATGGATGCAGCTTTCCATCAAAGAGCACATTTTGACAACATGATTATGGTTTTATAGATATCACATTTTCTCCAAATTTGTCCGAAAGATTTGGTCAATTTGAACATTTAAGCAAAAATAACTGTAGAGTAAGTATTCTTGTTGTCTGAGGTATATTTGATTCATCATCTGGATCATGGGTAGAGAGTAGATTCCAGGACAATATGTTAGGATGGACCAATCCCCTCCTTTGATGAATATACAAATTCATTTTAACAAACTTAACAAATCCCTTCTCTCATTCAGGAAGGAGTCGTGGGTCATGGACCCTGCCACAAATGTATACTATTACTGGCTTTGGATAATATCCTTCCCAGTGTTCTACAACATGATGTTCCTGGTTGCCAGGTCTGAATTTATGGCATTTTGTATTTTCTCTCGACCTTATTGTTGTTTTCAGAGATCTTCATCATGGCTTTGCTTCCTTACAGGTCTTGTTTTAATGAACTGCAGGATAAAAACACCACACTTTGGATGGTTCTGGACTACTCTTCAGATGGCCTCTACGTTTTGGACACCCTGATGAGAGCCAGGACAGGTCAGTGACAGAAACTCAGCTGAATGTGAGAAGTATATTATATTTCAAAAATGTTACTAATTCTGACGTGTCAACAGGTTTTCTGGAGCAAGGTCTTCTTGTTAAAGATACAAAGGTCCTGAAAGAGAAGTACATTAAGACACGGCAATTCAAACTGGACGTCATTTCCCTTCTTCCCACGGATATTATATTCCTCTTAATAGGAATTAACAACCCTGAGTGGAGGTTCAACCGCCTCTTTAGGTTAGGCCGACTCTTTGAGTTCTTTGACCGGACTGAAACTCGAACAAACTATCCCAACATCTTCCGAATTGGTAACCTTATACTCTACATCCTCATCATTATCCACTGGAATGGTTGCCTCTTCTTTGCCATCTCCAAGGTGCTTGGCTTCGGCTCAGACACCTGGGTGTATCCGTCCATGAAGAACCCTGATTATGCTACCCTGTCCAGGCAATACATCTACTGCTTTTACTGGTCTACCCTTACCCTGACCACCATTGGGGAGACTCCCCCCCCAGTCAGAGATATTGAGTACTTTTTTGTAGTAGCTGACTTCCTCACTGGTGTTCTGATCTTTGCCACCATCGTAGGAAACGTCGGAGCCATGATTTCCAACATGAATGCTGCACGTGTAGAGTTCCAGGCTAAGATTGACTCTATAAAGCAGTACATGGAATTTCGTAAGGTCACAAAAGACCTGGAGTTAAGGGTGGTGAAGTGGTTTGACTACCTGTGGACGGAGAAGAAAACCTGTGATGAGAAGCTGGTGCTGAAGAACCTGCCGGACAAGCTAAAAGCAGAGATAGCCATCAACGTACATCTGGAGACCCTGAGGAAAGTGCGCATCTTTCAAGACTGTGAAGCAGGTTTGCTTGTTGAGTTGGTTCTAAAACTCCAGCCTCAAGTCTTCAGTCCTGGTGACTACATCTGTAAAAAGGGGACATTGGGAGGGAAATGTATATCATCAAAGGAGGAAAGCTGGCTGTAGTTGCAGATGATGGGGTTACCCAGTTCGTGGTCCTCAGTGATGGGGCGTACTTTGGAGAAATCAGCATTCTCGGTATAAAGGGCAGCAAGGCAGGAAACAGGAGAACGGCCAACATCCGAAGTGTCGGCTACTCTGATCTGTTCGCCCTGTCCAAAGACGATCTGATGGAAGCGCTCATTGAGTATCCTGACGCTAAATATCTGCTGGAGGAGAAAGGAAAAGCCATCCTGATGAAAGATAATCTCATCGATGAGTCGCTGGTCAACGCTACTGACGCCAAAGACTTGGAGGATAAAGTCAACAAGGTGGAAGCCAGTTACGATGTCATGTCGGTCAAATTTAGGAAGCTGACAAGCCAGTTTGAATCTTCCCAGCGGAAACTCAAGCAACGGCTCACTAATATGTCCAACCAGGTCCGAACCCTCAAAGAGACTGATGAGTAGACCCTCTCAGGACCCCCACTTAAGGACTTTCCTTGAGATGTCATCCAACAGGACTACAGCGGACGTTTTGTACACACCACATGGCATAGTGGCTCCATTCATTGTTCCCATATGTGTTCAAACAGAAAGGTTGCATTGAAAGTGGCCCCTCAGATGTTATGCCCCCCCCCAAAAAGAGCATTATAGTATCTATTTGGTCAGATTCTCAGTCTCGTCCTTTAACAGAACTTCTCTGATCTTTCACTCTATTTTTTTACCAATATATTCAGGCAAAGTTTAATTAAAGCGGTCTGTGTGATAAAATTGAGAAGTTTTGTTTAGTTTAACTGTAAAAATAAATATGGTTGTTGAGGCATCAAAAAACACATTTGGTCTCAACAGTAGAATTGTAGTAATTTGCACCCGTCATGTGAATGATGAACAGCACTAACAATAAACTATTAGAAGCAATCGGCAAAATGTCACGTAATACTACTTACACTTTCGAAAGTGTTTCAGTCAAGATTGTTTTTGGTGACATTTGTTGGCATTGGAAGTTCCTGTTTTGTAAGAACTGTTTTGAATAAATTGACGTGTATATTTCCATCAACAGCGAGTCATTTTGATATTAAATCAAACTTTTTTTGGAGTATTAATAAGGTGGAAGTTAAGACTAGTGTTTGGCAGGAAAGTAATTAACAAATAACCTGTGGACTCAAATCAGGAGTACAAGCAACACAAGTTGGAAAAAAGCTGTCATTTATTTATTTATCATGTTTTCACAACACTGAATACATGTAGCCTTTCATCAGTTTGTATATTTTGAGTGTAATTATATTGAAGAAAACAGCTTCCCTTTCCAAACTCAGGTTGACCTTTCACACGTCCACGTGAGCAACAGTGATGTTGGACAGCTGACACCAGACCTGGGCTCAATATCAGCTGTAGGAAATCCTCCTTCTTGGTTTTAAGCGACACAAGAGGGTTGAGGCTGTTGCGAACATGCAGTACAGTCCAATGTGTGTCCACATCACCAGGCACTCCACAAAACGGTCCAAAGGAGGTTAAAAACATCGATACTAAGTTTGGATTTGGCCCAGGTCCGGCTGAAAGCATGACAAAGTAAGAGCAATGGAACAGAGAAGGGCCCGGGCGCTCTGCTGGGGGGCCCTGCCGCAGCTGAAACACAAATCAGAACCTCTCTAACAACCTACACACATGACGCATCTGCTCTGAACATGTGAATGTCCTCGTTGATCTCTCGCAGGTGAGCTCTGGTGTTCACAGACAGTGGATGTTGTCTGTTTCTGGTGACTCTCGATTGGTACTGGACATTAAAGCAAACAGCTAGAGAAAGATCTAGGAGGACTCACATTAAAGACGTCTTTAAAGAGAGGGACTTGTCTACTACAACCACTAATGATATGTGGGTCAAGTGATTACACCTGAGCCAGCTGCATTCACTGACAGGGACTAATGGATGTGTTTGAAAGCTTCTATGCATCGACTGGTCCAACCATTCTGAGGATGAGGGGTCATGGAGCATTTAGAAGTAAATGTCTTTGTATACACATTACATTTCTGATGTCCAAATGTCTGCTATAGTTTTTTTGGGAGTATTCTATACATTGTTCAAGGTCACCGTTGGCATTCATTTCCTGCTGGTAAGAAAATATATAAGCAGACTCTTGAAATGTGGTGTAATCCATCACAATGAACAACATGTAGGTGTGTTCATTAAAATGTCTGGTAGTGACACTAGCTCCAAATGATAATCTGACTTGGACATAAGTGGATGTTCACAAAGTGGTTGATGCGCTGGACGCAAAGAATGGTAGAAAACTATTCAGATTTCATTAAATAAATGCATAAAAACACAGACTGTATTACACTCACCATTGTTATTGGATGTGCATAACGCAACAAGTTCCATTTTATTTAAATAAGCATGTAAATAATGTTTGGGTGTCTGATGCATTGCGCAGCTTGCCCTAATGCACAGTGCACACAGTCTGTAGACAGGTGTTTAAAGGGTTAAGCCTACTCAACTGACCAAGTGAAATAAAAACATCTGCCTGTTCTGTTGGAGGATGCTTTCACAGTAAAAGTGCTATCAAACACATTTTGTTAGACACCTGTAGTCATTGAATGCAACATATCCAAACAGAAATCATCAGAGCCAACACGCTAACTCCGAACAGAGGCATCAGAATGGCCGTTAGCCTGGCCTTGCTACATATGTGAAACTGAAATATGGTGGACTCATGTTCTAGAGGGAATGTTCTGCCTGCTTCCAGCCCAACTTGACTTGATGCTAATTAGGAAAAGCAAACTAAAATGTAATAGTTTCTATTAAATAATGTTTCCCCATCTCCTATATAGTCTAGTTGGCAGCATAGTGAACCCGGAAACGTTGAGTACCCCAAAGTGTTATGTTAGAAATGTATAGTAGTGGTCCCCAGCACATAGAAACGGCAGGATGCTAAGTTTCATATATTGGGCAATTCGCTAAATTAGCATACGTTGCATCTTTTAACTTTTGTCCACATTAGCTATAATGCTAATTAACGCAATGTATGCTAATTGTGTAAATTGCAAGTTAGCGTCTGGCAGTTACTATGTGCTGGGGACCCATACTATACATTTCTATCATAACATTTCCAGGTTCACAATGAGCTGGCAACTAGACTAATAAGCATACATCAGTGAGACCTCAGGTCAGCAGAGGAAGGGTCTCTCACACTGAAGATGCTGATACATCAGTGAGACCTCAGGTCAGCAGAGGAAGGGTCTCTCACACTGAAGATGCTGATACATCAGTGAGACCTCAGATCAGCAGAGGAAGGGTCTCTCACACTGAAGAAGTATTAAATGGAAAGGTGGAACCATAGCAAGAGACACAGGTCCAATGGACTGAGTATAGTACTGAGTACTGGGGTCAGCTTGGCACAAGAAGAGCTCCAGGTCTGTATCTGAGATCATCATCAGTGACTGATCTACACGTGTACATCCTCCAAAACGTGCACATAGTTCCAACCGCGCTGATATATAAATACTGTTTTATTTAGAATCGTCAACACAGGAAGACATGGAAATAAAACGCTTCAAACAATCATGGCGACCTGTGGCCAAAAAACAAACATTCTGAAAATGTCTAAGTGCACTTACACAGCTCTGACATTATTTTAGTCTAACCTGCGGTGCCCCCCTCCCCCCCCCAATGAAAAAAGGGACCAAAAAAAGAAAAAACAGCTTTGTCATAATGTGTCATTATGACCTAAATGTTTACCGTGTTCAAACATGGGTTAGGTAGAAACAGTAGCAGATGGCTGTGAGTGGAATGGTCTGCGAGAGCTTTATCCTGCTTATTTGGTGGTAAAGATTACTCTACATGTTCTCGGTCCACTGGGGAAAGTTCAGGTCTACTTTAACATATATTTGTTCAATAACGGGGGTTGTATTGATTGAATTGTTCCAGATTGAGATAGTTTAACAGTAACCCTCCCTCTTTCCCCAAGTAGGTAACTTGCACATAAAGATAGCATTGAAAAATAACCCATTTTAACCTTAAAATAAATAATAAGGAAAATGATCCTCTCTGTACATAGAAAAAGACGGGGACACTGCTTCACATTGACGTAATGTGGATGAGGGGGGAGGGGTACTTTGATCAGGAGGTCTCTGTGCTTACAATGACTGATGACAGATGATGCAGGCACAGCAGCTCTAGTGGAACCATTGCTCCTCGTTCTTTAAGGACTTTCCTGAAATCATACTCGTGCCTGTCTTCTGTCACCTTTTTCAGTTGAGTCTGATAAGGAAAGGCGGTGCAGGGTTTCATGGGCTTGCTGAGTAGGAGTCCGTTTCACTGTGTGATGGAGCGGGGGGGGGGGGGGGGGGGGGGGAGGGGGGGGGGGGCTCAGAGCATGCCAAACCCTTTGGCATAGGTGATGGCTTTCAGCAGCCTCTCCTTCAGCTTCTCCCTGCAGCTGTACTCCGGCAGCAGCAGCACGTTAAAGCAAGTGTGAGACGTCGGTAACCTGCGGAGAGAAAACATCACAGCTGCTCAGAACACAACTCCAAACGCCTTTAAAAGATTCATTAAAAGTTACTCAGCTTTGCATGATTTAAAGGTCCCATGTCATACTTTTCCGATTATTACCCGTCCCCTTGTGTTATGAAGGTTGTTCTGCATGTAAACGGTCTGCAGAGTCACAAACCCTCGAAGTACACCCTGTAGCGAGTAAGACTCTAACACAGAGAAGACCTGTCTGTGCTGCCCCAGAACGCCTCGTTGGACATTTCTCTTTTTCTTCCTGGGTACAGTGACGTGCCCGTACCCAAATGGACCCATTGGACCAATCCGTGGAGCTCCTCACACACACTCTCTCTCAGCGACAAAACTGTGACGCGCTGGGGGGGTGCTAGTGGAGCGTCACAGCGGCGAAACTGTGGCGCGCTTACACTGTAGGTGCGCTGCGTTTGAGGGTGTGGGTGCCTCGCAGAGCTTCAGCCCCCTCTGTGTCATTTTCCGGTGGCTAACGCCATTGTAACACATAATCACTGATGTTCCGCTGCAACGGTGGTGGACTCATCAGAACAGAGTGGGCGAGCTGACCAATCAGAGCACAGTAGGCTCACAGGGGGGGGGTTTGCAGGAGCTCCAACAAGCCGCTTAGGACAGAGAGTGAATACACAGACTATACAGAGATATGAGAAACCAATGTGAGTTTGGAACATTGAACAATGTAAATCTATTCTAGTAGACCTCAACAATGGAATCATGATTAGTAGAAATGGCCATGACATGGGACCTTTCAAAAAAGAGGCTCTATGAAGGGATTGTAGCTGTCAAATTCATATTTCGATGCTTTCCTCATGCGGAAGTGGGCGTGGTTAAATCTCAACTGGGTGGGAAGAAAACGATAGACGCCACCATGCCTGGCACGTCACTGGAGAGAAGTATAACGCTGGAGAAGTCTTTCTTCAATCCAATATGGCTCAGTAAGTGTAATGGCTACACGAGGACAGCTCCAATGCAGTCCGCCATTGAGAGGGATATTCACACGTGCATTAGAGGGGCGTAAACGTGACGTCATCAAAACGTCTTCTCACAAACACTAGACGTGGAGCACAGTGCCGAGGTGGCTCACCTGTCCGTGTCGGGGCCGTTCTTGGCGATGATCATCTTCAGTTTGCCCAGCCCCCCCACAGGTGCTCTGTCAGTGCCTGTGGTGAACTGCAGGAAGAAGCGCTTCTGCTCCTCCCCAAACGAGTGCAACGTCTCCCAGAACTCCCTGCGAGCATACACACATGGTTAGAAAAAGTGCAGTGTAACAAGGATCCTTCGTAAAGTAGTATTAACTTAACCTTATTAAACTTAAACTGATGAATCATTTGATTTACAGTCACTTAGATAGAATAGGGAGGGATGAAACCCTCTAATGGTCACACATGTAGAGCACACAGTGACATGTGTTCTCTGCTTTTAACCCATCCTAGCACCAGGAGTCTAGTACTAGGAGCAGTGGGCAGCTATTGTACAGCACCCGGGGAGCAATGGGAGTGAGGGGGGAAGGGGGGTGTCCGGTGCCTTGCTCAAGGGCACCACGGCAGGGTCCAGGAGGTGAACTGGGACCTCTCCAAGTAGCAGTCCACACTCCATATTTAGGTCTGGTCGGGGACTTGAACCGGCGACCCTACGGCTCACAGTCCAATCCCCTACTGACTGAGCCACTGCCGGACTTTTTGTGTCCATACTGTGCCTACAAACACTCACTTGATGATTCGAGAATCTTTGTTGTAACCGCCATCGTACTCCGTTGTTTCTTCAAGTGCTAGGAAGTCCAGGTTCTGCAGTATGTAACAGACAAAACAATGATTGAAATGAAGCAGATTGAAATGTCTTCCTGACATGTTTAAATGTCTGTTGACAAATCTCACCCTGCTTCCACAGATGAGGAGCTCGATCTCCTCCGGTCTGAACAGGTATTTGAGCGGCGACTCGTTGGTGACCATGTGGAAGCCTCTCCTGAACGCTTTGAACTGCTTCTCCACGCTTTTGTTCAGCATGTACTCGGCATACTGAGCCACAAATTCCTGCACACACACATCAACAGTTCCCCGGTTAGTTCCCACACCCTGATTTTCAAACAGTTTAAACACTTCTTCATGCTTTCTTGTAGCCTCACCTTTCTGTTTTCATTCGTGACTGGAATCTTGTCCCCATTTTCCCTTAAATCATGCATGAGCGGGTTCCCAAACAGGTCCGTGTGGGAAATCTGGAAAGTGATCATCATGTCCTCCTCCACGCTGCCCTCGTACTCCATCAGCTCCTTCAGACTCTGGTGCAGAACCTTTTCAACAAAAACACAAACTATTGTAAAATCTGGCAGTCGGGAAAGTAAGATTTGCTTCACAGCTACATGGATTAAGAGCAATCAGAACACTTGCTAAGATAGTTCTTACCGGGTTTGCGACAGCCAGGTCTCTGAAGGTTCCTTTCTTTCCCATCAGCTTCCTGTAGACCACCATAGGAAAGTGGACATCCAGAATACAGTTGTTGTAGATGGCCAGGCCCAGAACGATTCCAATCAGAGTGTACTGGCCCTCATTTTCATATGATGACGGGTTGAACCAAAACATTTTGGTGTGCTCGTCGTATCTGAACATGCCTGCAGCAGGGAAAAAAGTCATAGAAAAAGGTTTTATTACTGAACTATGACCCCTGGGAGGCTTCTTTGTTGCTTTGTCTGTGTGGAAATCTGACTCTTCACACACAGAGGACTTTAACAACGTAACATGTCACACTTAGCATTTAAAGGCACATTTATAAAAGTCAAATACCTTTAGATAAGAGCAAGTTCAAGGTTCTTTATTTGTCATACGAACATAGCTACATTGTAGTTATGTCGATGAAAATCTTAGGTCACAGGCTTCTCCAACAGTGCAACTCAATAATACAGATTAACAGGAAAATATAGTGCAAGTAAGTAGAAAATACAAAAAGAAAAATAGTTGAAATAAGAGTCTATATGCAAGCTATTGGAATGATATATTAGATCAATAATTACTAAGTAGCAGATGAATGTTATGGATGTTGTTTCAACAGTTCAGGTGTTTAACAGTCTTATTGCCTGTGGGATGAAACTGTCTCTGAATCTGGTGGTTGTTGGAACCCAAAGCTCAAATCATAAATGTTATGATATTATTATAATGGTTTACATTCCATTATAATAGAACTCGTGTTAACTGGTTGCACTTTCTAGATCAGGGGTCTCTAACATGTCGATCGCGAGCTACCGGTCAACTTTTCAGTAGCTCCCCGCTCGCGGTTCACAGACTGTGTAGAAAGAATCCGACGACAACAAATGCACCTGAATCAGTCCGTGTCGCTGCGGCTCAGACACACATGGATTTATGCTTTAAAAAATACTTGCTTTAGCACCATGTCAGGTTTAATGGTGGATTTAATCAAGTCTTGGATTGCAGAGTATGAATGTCCTCTTGCTATTTTCAGTTGATAAATACTTGTGTAAAGTTTGTGAAGGCAGGAGGAAAAAAGCTTCCGCGATCACCGTCTCCTCTGTTCCTCCAAACCCCGCCCTAAAAATAATGAGTGACAGGCTGATAGTAACCTGATAGTAACTTTATTATTCACCTAATCACTGATTGAGATATGATGAAGCTAACTTAGTCTCATACATTCATGGGATTTGTGTAACAGTAAGACAGAGAATAAGTGTGCACCCACATGCACTATTTTTGCTTTGATATGCTGTTGTAAATACTCCTGTTGTCTGCTGTGTTCAGACTCAAGTCCTGTGTGTGATGCCTCATTCAGGACATTCAGTGTCCTTTTTTTAACAGAAGACTGTTGCTCGAAGCTGCAGCTAGACTGCAGAAGTATTAGTTTTTTGTTTTTGAGGATGGAACAATTTCACACACAGATATAGGGAGGCTAGACCTATACACTAGATTAATTATGGTTTATAATTTCATGTCCTGACGAAGAAGAAGAAAAGATGGCTGAACTGTTCAGTGTCAATCCTGTGGAGATGGAGGTTATAAATCTCCAAAATCATGTTCAGCTCAAGTCTCAGTAAAACTCACAACATGTCTGGAGCCTTGTAGACCCAGAAAACTCAACATTCACCAAGCAGCACTGAACATACTGCTTTATTTGGTTCTGTTCTACAGACCTTTGTGAAGCAGCTTTTTCTGGCATGAATGAAATCTAAATACAGAACAAGACTGACTGATGAACATTTAAATGACTATTAGAGTGAACCTAAGTGGGTCCAGCATACACCTCTATGGTGGACTCCATGCAGTGCCATTCCTCTCACTGACTGTGAAAAAGAGTGAATGCACTTATTTTACACATGTGCCATAAGGTGCTTGCACGGTGGTGATTAAGGCGATGTATTTACTATGTGGGCCATAATAAGAAGTGAAAACATTTTCTTTTTCTCTTGGACATTTATGTGAATTTTCAGTGAAGTACTTACTATGTGGGCCATAATAATAATATGTGAGAAATTGTCGTTTTCTTGGACCTTGATGTGAAGTTAAGATGTTTGATAAGCTTTGGGTATTGCAATTTCACACGTGTACACAAGTAGCTTAATTCAACCGATGAGTGCTATGTGAATAAATGTAAGCGATGTGATGCAAGTAGCTCTTGGCCACTTTCATTTTTCAAAGTAGCTCTCAGATGAAGAAAGGTTGGAGACCCCTGCTCTAGATGATGCGTTTAAAATGAGGCCTATCGCATTCAAAAGTACTGTGTCAGCTATTGAAGTCTTAAGATCATTAGGTGTGTTGCAACATAAATGCTAGTTGTTGTGTGTTTTCTCACCGATATCTGGGTTGAAGATCTCCTCCACCACCAGCTGAAAGAACTCTTTGGAGACCCCTCCTTCATCGACACCTTGCTCTCCTTCAAACTCCACATACAGCTGCTTCTTCAAGTCTGCAGGATTCTCCATTGCTATCATTTCCAGCTACAGACACACAAGCGGAACAGATCAGTGTTACAAACTGAACCAATATGACAAAGAAGCCTGAATTGTACACATTGAACTGGCACACACATACCCTGACCAGCGCGTCGTCGATGATGTGGTCTCGGCGCACTTTGAGCCTCAGATAGGGGTTGAGCTGCTGACCCTGGACCAGGCTGTAGAGCACAGTGATGCGCCGCTCGCTGTACATGCGGATGCGGTTGTCGTAATACAGACCCAGGTTCTTTGTGACGGCGTTCAGAATGAAAGGGCATGTCATAAAGGAGAACTTATTTTCAGTTTCAACCTTAAAGAAAGTGTAGTCCTTGTCCATCTCCAGCACCTCGTTCAGAGGCTCGTTGACAAACTCCTCGAAGGAAATGAGCGGCTTCCGACAGTCGTTGGTGCGGATCCCCAGCTCTGTCTCCAGGGGGTCCACCCGGGGGCCCTTCTTGTTCCGCCGCTCCTCCCCCAGCAGCTCCTGCAGAGTGAGCTCGCTGGACTCCGGGATGGGCTCCTCGTCCTCGTCCTCGTTGTGCTCCATGTCCAGGTCGCCGCCGAGCACGTTTGCATAGTAGACAATCTTCAAGCACTTGGTGGATGCCACCACTGCGTCGTCGTCGTTGACCAGGTTTCGGCTGTTGAACTCGTTACTGATCACCTTGTAGGTGATGAGCTGCTGGAAGGTCTCCACCATGCGTCGGATCTGCTCTGCGCTGTAGTGCGACCACAAGCCTGCCAGCTTGGCCTGGGCTGGCAGGGGGAGTTTACTCATCGCCTTGCAGAACTGTGGCAGGGCGATCTCCAGGTACTCCGGGCTGTGGAGGTTGCTGTTCTCCATCACTATAACAAACAGGTTCAGGTAGTTTTGGTCTCGTGAGTACACGTTGTGGTACGTGAGGTCGCACTCTACGTTGGGTGAGAGGTAAACCAGCGCATTCAGGAAGGCGGCTTCTATCTTCTCATTGGAAAGCAGCCGCTCGTAGACCCGCCGCACAGCGTCAATGTCCACCGACAGCTCGTCAGGGGACAGCCTTTGGACTTCGTTTTCCCCTGAGGAGCCCTCGCCGAGCCTGGCTGATGAAGAGGAGGCAGGGGAGTCTTCCTCCATAGCTGTAGCAGAGCAGGCTGCGGCCTCCTTCTCATCCTCATCCTTGTCCTCATCCTTACCTTGAAGGGACTTGAGCTCCTCCTTGGTGTGAGGTTTGGATCTCCGGAAGCTCTGCACCAGGCCCTCAGCACTGGAGAACACCCGGCCTATTACCCGGATCAGAGGCGAGTAATCTTCCTGCTCTCCACAGATGTCCAAAATCTCGTACACTTTCTCTTCTGTCAGGTAATTCACATCTAGGAAAGAAATTGAGAAAAACAGATTAACAGACTTTCACAGCTTATTCCGCTTCACTTTATTAATAAAAAGTATGTAAATCCTGAATATCTGGCGTCCACTCACCTTTGAAATTGTCCCGGACAGAGTGGGAAACTTTATGGTTCAACTGGCTGTTGCTGCAGGCTGAGTTGCTGTGAGCGCTACTCTCCAGGTGGGCTGAGGCAGTGACTTTCTTTGAGGGGTGGGTGTCACATAGCTTAGCGTTGACCTTGTAGAGCTCCAGCGCTTTGACGGCCGCTGCGTTGTTATCCATGCGGTTGAAACCGACTGATGAGGCACACCATGAGTTGGAGCACGACTCATTCCCACAGCCCTCGGTTAACTGGTGGTAGTAGCGCTCTATTAGATGTTTGGCAGCTGCTCGCTTCCTGCATTCAGAGGGGAAGCACAACATGCGAGTGTGTCAATCACCTTTTCTCATCATTAACAGTAATTAGTACATTATGAGTGTGACGTTGCAGAAAATAGTTAAGGTTATGAGTAATCACGTTTTAACTTCTAAAAACTCAGGACAGTTGTATGACTGCATTCTTGGCTTTAATACGTTGCATTCATTAATATAAATATAATACATCTAATAAATGTGTTTTCTTTGTTTAATGGTTGACTCTAGCTGACAAGCATCCATACTCTATACTTTCAGGCTGTTCCTTGTTATTAAGAGATACATTCAATATGTTGGAGCATTTAGAAAAATCTATCTGCAATTACGGTTACTCACGTATGAGATGGGTGTAATTGAGCCCTGTTGACAGATACCAGTTTCCCCCTTTTTTTTTTTTTGTTGCCAAGGCTCTCTTTAATTTCAGCACAAAAGATCATTCTTGGCTTTATTATTGAACAAAACAGGTATATTTGAAGCACTAGCTTTATACACCAAGCTTTCATATAGCTGATGCTTTTTTAAACTGAACCTTTGTCTTTAAATAATGACATGATCTTCTAACTGTTTATAATACATCTATACGTTGCACTACCACAGGAAAAAACTTAGAAAAACCTATTTGCAAAGATTGCCTAGTGTCACTTTTTTGCAAAGTTCTATCACTTTGGTTCACCATTAACATGGTAACAACCAACTGTCAACAGGCTTCTGATGGCAAACAAGAAGTAAACAAGAAGTGAGAATAGAACAGTGGTGAGATCTGCGGGTGTGGAGGGAGGGGGGGGCAGTCTTAAATAAATACGCAGACACAGAATCATACAGTATAAGTATTTACTAATATAATATGAGTTAGACTTACATTCGGCTTGCTTCTGGGTTTTCTATTTCAGGCTCCTCGTATTCTCTAGTAGAACAAACAGATAATAAGAATAAGAAACATAGCAGAGGTCACGCTATGTTGCTTTGACATGATCAATACAACGTATACATTCACTTTCTGTCCTGTATGTTGCATAGGGAATCAATGTGCAATATTAGAACATATTTTTCATTTATGACTTAGGCGGAATTTAGGAATGATGGGAACATGACATGCTGGCCATAAGGCAACATTATAGTCGTTGTAGAAGCAGGTTAGCCTTGTGTGGATTTGGCCCACAATCAGTGTTCTGATACATGTGTTAATACGTGTACGCTGTTAATGTAAATGACTGTCAACGTTAGCGAAATCCTACAATCTAAGCATAGAGTGGCAATAGCACTAGTCAAGTAACGCTAGTAGAAATGAGGGATCTGCACATCCTGACGCTGACTTAGCAAGCTAATATAGCAACAACTAGCTAGCATGCTTTCCTTATTTCACCCATTATTATTATTGATTCAGAAATGACGTTTGCAAAGTCACTTTTTAAGCAGCCAGGACTTGCTGTGAATTTTGCCTGATTATATTTATTAAAACAACACAGCAATAGTATGCAGAGAGGTCCCAAATACATTAAGCTAGTTAGCTATCACTTTTAGCACGCTCATAGCATCCCCGACTCTTTCCTGCTGGCGTCCCCACCTATGTGTTCCTTCTGCGGGGATAGTCTCGGCCTGTAGTGGCGCACACTCACAGTCCTCCTTCTCGTCGGAATTCATACGACACTTTATCCTCAGTTGTTTCTTATCCTGTTGCTGTCTGTGTTTGTATCAAGTCCTCCACGGGATGGTTACACCTTCAATAGCACGTTGGTTTAAGTCTAAACGGGATATTTTATTCAAAACTTCATTAACGGCCTTCGTACAGCAGGCTCTTTGCTCTGCCTGAGGTTCACAGCCATCTTGACTTCTCCATAAACCGACATCCCACAATGCACTGCCTTCTAGCTAAAAGACCTGCTGGAGTGGATCATAACACTTCAAGGAACTGGACTCATTTTATTCATCATTGGGCCATAGCTGCAAGTGAATAAAAACATATATTCAGATTGTATACACTTTATATATTTAGACGGCATATGTATATATCATGGTATGATGTATGATATATGGTACAATATAGTAGCCTATATATTATATTAGGTTTTTTTACGTTTATATTTGGGACAATATAGCATTATTCAATGACAAACATCAGAGCAGCCTGATACACATTTCTCACAGTATATTATAATTTAAGATATTCGTTTTATTTAATGTATGTTTTTATTTTATTTATGTTTTATTTTTGGGACAAGAAGCCTACTGTATGTATTATTATTCAAATACATACTCAAATATGCATGAAGTCGAATGTAAGCGACAGCTTGTCAGGGTTTATTATATTAAATATTGGTTAACATATTCTAAATCAGGGGTGTCGAACTCAATTTCATCGGGGGCGACATTAGCATTAAGGTTGTACTCAAAGGCCCGGTTGTAACTTTAGACTATAAAACTATATAACTATATATATATATATATCTAAAATTATATATTATACATTATTGCTTATACATTGGATTATTATCGGATAGGCTAATAACTTCATAATTAACTACGTCTGAAAACAGAAGTCAAGGGCAATTAATTACAAATAGTTGCAAATCTCTTCAGTGCGCATGTCACAAAATGACATGCATTATGGGACATGCAGTTTATGGACAACGTGCTCCTGTAAAGCGGCATGAAACCGTATAATAAACGTATTATATTATTTGCAAGCTCTTGCGGGCCACATAAAATGAAGGCCTTGAGTTTGTCTCCCCTGTCTACATAAACACGCACAATTTGATAAAATGTAGACATTACTACAGAACAGGCGCACAAAAGTGTTGTCCTACTTCTATGGGCATAGATATGTCTCATAATTATTTGTGTGAACATAAAAATAATTCATGTGTAAATATGGGATTTGTAAATGTAAAACAACATCCACAAATGCATTTAAAAGATTTGCAAACTCACAAATACATTTGCAAGTGTAAAACGGATCTGCAAATACGCTAAATATGTTCACAAATAAAAAAAAGATCTGTGATTATCTCTTTAACATTTACACCTTTCGATCAGGCATTTGTGAATCAATTTTGTATTTGTGGACCAAAAATGCGCTTGCGGATCTCAAATCTCTGTTCACGGATCTCAAATCTCTGTTCGCGGATCGTCTTTTTACACACACGGAATTTTGAGACATATTTTCCGCCGGTCTCGGCTAAAATCTACTCGTGTCACTCGGTTATTTTCGGAAACCACGTGATGGCCTGCTGATGGCGACATTTCCGCATGATTTCAAAGTAAGAGCATGATGGTTTGTTTAATGCTCTGTTTTTGTATTATAATGAACAGTGGAACGTTGGATGTATTCTTCATCACCATAACCCTGACCTAAATACGGTGCTTTTCTACAGATTACTTTATTACTGCACTGGTAAGGTAAAATTAGGCCGATTAATAAGATGTGAAGTGCTTTGTAACTTCGACCCGCTTGACTGAATACACAACAAACAATGAAGAAAGAGTTTTATCTGGGCTGCTTCGCTGCCAGCTGCTCCCCCGGGACCCGAAAGTGGCGTAGGCTATAGCCTGCACTTCAACATCAACGAAAGTGCTCGATATATGCTATATTGAACCAATAACACAAACTATCTGTATCACTATAACATGATGATGATGATGGTGATGAAGAATGCATCTAACGTTCCGCTGTTCATTATAATACAAAAACAGAGCATTAAACAAACCATCATGCTTACTTTGAAATCATGCGGAAATGTCGCCATCAGCAGGCCATCACGTGGTTTCCGAAAATAACCGAGTGACACGAGTAGATTTTAGCCGAGACCGGCGGAAAATATGTCTCAAAATTCCGTGTGTGTAAAAAGACGATCCGCGAACAGAGATTTGAGATCCGTGAACAGAGATTTGAGATCCGCAAGCGCATTTTTGGTCCACAAATACAAAATGGATTTACAAATGCCTGATCGAAAGGTGTAAATGTTAAAGAGATATTCACAGATCTTTTTTTTATTTGTGAACATATTTAGCGTATTTGCAGATCCGTTTTACACTTGCAAATTTATTTGTGAGTTTGCAAATCTTTTAAATGCATTTGTGGATGTTGTTTTACATTTACAAATCACATATTTACACACAAATTATTTTTATGTTCACACAAATAATTATGAGACATATCTATGCCCATATACTTCTGTCTTAAATACAAAGTTATATTGAAGAACTTAAAATAAACGTTTTATAGTTATCAGTGTTTACTACGTTGCAGTTGTGAGGTTTACACTGCCTGCTTGAAATATGTTTGTAGGACTTTTCAGTTTTTAGAAAAAGTAATTAAAAAAAATAATCAAGTGCAAAAGTCATCATTTCATCATGTCTTTCTATTTTGACAGGGTTATTATTAATATTCTACACTGTGCACGGCTTCCTGGACACTGAAGGTAACAGAAGTGCAGTGTGAGGCAACATCACTTTCTCAGTATTGAAGAATATACGGGATTCATTTTAATTCATATTTTTTTCTATTAACAATGTAGTGGAAACTTCTGTGTAGCTATGCAGTGGGAGTCACCGACTCAGGAAGGAGACACGGGAAGAGCAGTAGCTTTGATGTCAAACACATGATGGTTTATTTGGAGTTAACGGCCGGAGGATTCACATCACAAGTCCAAGAGTCAGAGGTTCTGACTTCACGGTAGAGTTGCCACGTCAATTCTGGAGAGCCTCTCTCTTGCCAGCCCATCTAACTGGTTTCGCAGAGAGTAAACAACATATTTTGAGGAGATAGCCTAAACAGTGTGGGAACACAGAGCTACTTGCCTCGGACACTTATGACCTCGAAGATTTTACCTTGGAGTCCACAAATACAGAGAAGGAAGTGTCCCAGTGTACCCACAACACAGACCATCTGTATCCCAGTATTGACCGGTCACAGAATGGGAACAATAACATTATTGGCTAAGCCGCCTGTGTCCTTAAAGAAGGTAAACAGACATCAAGGTTTGTCCTGTATGTTACAAATTGGCGTCTTATGATAATTATTTCCACAACAGTCCTCTCTTTTTATCATTTATGATAACCTAAAAACATTAGTCTAATAATAATTTGGTCAATAATTAACTCAATAGGCGTCTCCAGATTCGAGTGTGGTCTCACCTTACATTAATTACATCACAAAGTAGAATAAGATTGAAACATTCAATCACAATGATTGATACAGCCAATCATAATAGAAAAAATCATCTCTCATCAGTGTTTGATCATCTTTTGTCAAAAGCATAATAATGAACACACATAAAACACAGGTGCACAATGGCTAAATATTTGTTTTTAAACTAATATATTTGATCATTTACCATTAGTTAATTTCATTCATCAAACTATCAAATCAAAACCAGCTTGCCGCTTTAAAGATTTACTTCAAGGCAATCACTAGTCAAAAGCATTTTAAAACTCAGGATCGTAAGAGATCCAGCTAAAAATGTACAGTTAGAGTATAGAATTCACAATGGTGATTTGATCAATCTGTAATCTGCAAAAGTGCAGTGTCCTCAATTTTAGAATTACTTTTACGTTTACTTAAATACGCTTTAGTCAAGAGTAAGGCACTTAGTGAAATCAATACATTCATTTTAGTCAAGTACATTGTTCAAAATCTGAAAAGGAAAAGTTAGGCAAATATTCAAAGACTTTTGTAAAAAACCTGGAAAGGAAGGATTAAACATTTTTAAACCTTGAATTATTACATTTGTAAATGCTACCACTGATCTGTACCAAATTAAGTCTATCAAGTATTCCTATTAGCCATACTTACCTGAGCTACTTATGGTACTTGGAAAGGATTCTTCTGTGTTTATCTAATGTTGAGAATATCAATTTCTTTAAATTATACTTCTCTAATTTGAGGATCAAATATGCTACATAATTGTTATATGAAATATTATAAATATTTGTTTTGGGCCAAAACTGAAATTAATCCAGTACTTGAAACATCATTGTAGGTCTTTCTATGCATGGATAATACATTAAAGAGTAGTGTTGTTAAGCCTGATTGCTGGATTCAAATCCACTAGAGTGCATGTACCTATCCAGAGGGGAGCCAGAACTTGATAGAGCTTGTCGCCGCACAACCAAACGTAATCTTGTGGCGAGCTAAACCCCACATCACTGGGCCAGGCCAGTTGTATTGCTCACGGTTGCATTGTCCCAGGCGAGCCGTCATCACGAGGTGGGAATGCTCCAAGGGGTGTGTGTGTGTATTCCTTCGGTCGATTTTGTGACACGGACAGTCAGACTCCGCACACCGGTAACACAAACGAGGAACCAGAGGGCATATGGAACCGCTCAGCTGGCACTTGCCTGTGATACCTTGTGTGTAGTGTGTTTTGGTGTATGTAGTGCAAGTGTGGTGCAAGTTGGTGATTAGGACACATCACTTGTTGTCATCTACTTCTGTTGGTGATTAGGACACATCACTTGTTGTCATCTACTTTTGTTGGTGATTAGGACACATCACTTGTTGTCATCTACTTTTGTTGGTGATTAGGACACATCACTTGTTGTCATCTACTTTTGTTGGTGACTAGGACCTTGCAGTGGCTGGCGTGGACCCACGTAGCTCTCTCTCTGACCCTTGGCCTTCAGAGCTGTCCTACTGTAGTTATTGGGTTAACACTTGATAGGGATGTTTTCCTGAGTGCAGACAACTCAAGGTAATGGATTAGCACATTATCATTTAAATACAAAAATAGGATAGGCCCCTCAGAACTATTTGGGAGCCTTCCTGAGACATGCACATGCATTAATGTAAGGTTTGTGTTAGTCATTTAACATGCAAGAATCATAAACTCATCAGTCCAAAGTAGAGAAATGTTATTGTAATTTAAAGGT